GCTGGAGAATGCCTGTACCCGATTCTGAAGTGCGCTGCCTAGGCCAGGCTTCCTTGCAGTCTTCTATGAGCAGCTTGTTCTCTTGTTCTCAGCCGAGTTGTCTCCCCATCAGACAGAACGGGGCATGCAGCTCTCCCTGCCCATCTCGCATACCTCTCCTCCCTCCCTGGAGCCCCTTCCTCCTTCCTCCTTGTATTGTACAGCAGATAGCATGCAGGGGCCCCCAGCAGTGTGCAATGCTCCTAGTGATCCAGTGTGGCCACTGCTCCAATTTATCCATTACTTCCACACATGTTTACAAAGCGCCTCCAACACAGTCGCGGGGTCTTTCACACGGCTACACTCTGTCCTCTGTCTATACCACAGCCACTGCCTCCTTTTACACCTCTCTCACTTCTCTCCCAGGTGACTGCAATAGTCTCCACACCGGCCCTCCTGGCCCGCCTCCTCCACGGCTGCCAGAGAGTGCGTATTAGCATGCAGAAAGAATGACATCAGGCTCTTGTTCAAATCCTTCAGGGGCTCCCCTTAGTTTTCACGCTGAGCTTAAACTCCTTAGCGTGGCGCTAAAGGCATTTTGTGATCTGTCAGCTGCCTTTTGTTCAGTCACACTTCCCAGGTCTCTGCTCCCAAGCACTCTCTCCTTCAGTCCCACTAAGCTGTCTGTGGGACCGGAATGAGTCACATTGCCTCTGACCTCCAAGTCTCCGGTGTTCTGTTCCTTTTGCCTGGAGTGTCTTTCTCCCACTTCTTGTCTAGACCAACGCTGTCCAAAAGAACTTTCTGCAACAATGGAAAAGCTCCATATCTGCTCTGCGGGAGCTTCTAGCCACACGAGGTTGCTGACTACTTGAAGAGTGGCCAGTGTGAGCAAGTGAAACACGCATGGACACGTGTGGCTAGTAGCTAGCTGACTGGGCAGCACGAAGACAACTGTTAGGCTCAGGGCTGAGGTCTCCCCTGGAAACCATCCCAGTGTCATGGCTGACCTTGTTTTGCCATCCCAATATTTAGAACCCTGTTTTATAGTCAGTGATTCATTGGTCTCAAGTGCTGGATTTACAGGCATGTGCCACCAGGCCCAGTTTGACAAATCTTATAAAGTTCTATGAATCCAAAATATACCAAGGACTCTTAAAAGTCAGTGATAGGGGGCCAGGGATATAGTTCAGCAGCACAGTGCCTTCCTGGCAAGCATGAGGCCGTGAGTTGGATTCCCAGCACAAATAAATAAATAAATGTCAATGATAGGAAAATGAACAGTCTGGTTTTATAATGGCCAAAAGACCTGAACAGACATCTCACTGAAGAAGATACACAAATAGCAAGTAAGCATATGAGAAGATAGAGATTCAACATCCTATGTCTCTAGGGAATTGTGAATTAAAATAACAGTAAGATAACTCCACAATGAGATAACTCCACTGCCCAAAATATAACATCCTGATGGTAGCAACTGTGATAAAGATTTGAAGCAGCAGGAACATGCATTCATTGTTGGTGAGAATGCAAAATGGTATAGCCACCTAGGAGGGCAGTTTGGTAGTTTCTTATAAAACTAAATTTATTTTTATGGCTGGATCCAGCAATCATATTCCTTGTCGTTTATCCAAAGGAAATGTACACTGATGTTTTAGCAGCCTTAGGCATTCAGAACTCCTAAAACTCAGGAGCAACCAAGAGGTCCTTTCAGTAAGTAAACAGATAAGCAAACTGTGTTACATGTAGGCAGTAGAATATTTTATTTGATTTTTTTTTAAATGAGCTATCAAGCCACAGAAAGACATGAAGGAGTTTTATGTGCATGTTACTAAATGAAAGAAGCCAATCTGAAAAGGCTGCACATTGCATGATTCCAACATGGCATTCTGGAAGAGGAAAAAGCACAAAGATGGTATAAAGCTCAGAGGTTGTCAAAGATTAGGGTGGAAGGAGGGATGAATAGGCAGAGCACAGGGGGCTTTGTACCCACCCATCTATTTAATGGTGGGTACATGTCGCTATACATTCTTTTCTTTTTTTGTTGTTTTTTGTTTTTTGTTTTTGGGCTGGTGTTTTTGAGACAGGGTCTCGTTATATAGTCCAGGCTATCCCTGAATTCACTATATAGCACAAGTTGACCTAGAACTAGCGGTGATCCTCCTGCCTCAGCCTCCCAAGTGTTGGGATGATAGGTACGCAACACCATGCCTGGTTATTTTTCAAAAACTCATGCGATATACAACACCAAGAACAAACTCTAATGTAAACAATAGACGACTAAACTTTGGGTGACTGTGATGTATCAGCACAGGGTCACCAGCTATAACAAATATACCACCCTGACTCAAGATTGGCAGTGGAGGAGGCTCTACCTGCACAGGGAGGGAAGTATATGGGAGCTCTCTATACCCTCTGTTCCATTTTGCTGTGAACCTAAACCTGCTCTAAAAACAGAAAATCTACCCACCATGGCTGACTTCAAGCTACCAAGATGACATCACCAAAGAGACGCACACAACTTGCTCTTGTGTGCAGAGGGGCACTTGCCCCAGCCCGCATACATGTGCGTGCCTGCCTGGATGGAATGTCCCAGGCGTGGGAATGCAGGGAAGCCTCTGGGCTCCCTGGGGGAAGCCTATTCAGCTGGGCATGCAGCTGCAGGTGGAGTTCAGTCCCAACCCTTGTGATAAAGGATCAGGGAGCTACAGTTCTCATTTATTCAGAAAGACGTTTCCTTTGCATCTTCTGCCTTTACTATGAAGACTTGTCCAGTCATGGACTGGGCGGCATGCACACTAGTGGGAAGTGAGCCTGAGATGAAAATGGAAGCTTGACCCAAAGTATCCTAAACCACAAGGGGCTTATGATCCCCCACACCAAGCAGTCCAGAGATGGGGCAGAGCCCAGCTTCCTACCAGTGGCTCAGCAGTGCTATCCTCCAAGCATCAGCACGTCTCTTCTCAGTGGCTGCTGCAGCTCCAGACAGCACCGGCAGATGTGACATACTAAAGAAGAAGAGGCACAGTCCCTCCCAACTGTCACTAGTGAGAGAATATTTCCTAGAACTCCCCAGCAGTGGTTCCTACAGGCCCCGATGGCAAGACGATCTCATAGCCTGTGTGAGCCACCCAGCTTCCGGAGAATGAGCCCGCTCAACAGGCCTAGGCTCATGGGCAGGTTCCTGCAGGGGGCAAAACCTAGGCAACAAGGTGGGGCCTCGCCCACAGGAGCAGCCGGTGGGGTGCAGTGGAGAATGGCTGTCAAGACCCGAGGTACAAGAATATTAGAGGAAGAGCCACTTTGTTTAAGGCCAGGTCATTCCGCAAACATTTCTCAAGGTGAACAAGGAATTGGTGTGAGGGAGCACAACCCCAGCTAGTGCAGACATTTACTCAAACGCACACACACATGCCAGTCCATCAGGCTTCTGCTACAGAGTCCACAACCGATAGGCCAGGAGGGCAAAGGGGACAGGTCCCATGCTGTTCAAAGACAGCAGCACTGCACATAGGGAAGCCATGAGGCTGCTGTGGGGATGGAGTTCCCAGCCAAGCAGGGCTGTGCCGTACTCCCAGCAACTTGCTGACCCTGGCAGGAGACTCCCTACCCACACACCTACCCAGGCACTCCCAGGAAGGCTCTATGCAGGGTCGTTTGTGGCAGTCCCATTTGCACACAGCTGAATTCCCCAGGGCAGGCAGCACGTGGTGTCTCGCTCCCCCGGCTATGACCTGGTTATGGGGAGTTGCTAGGTAACTGCTTCCCACACTGGAGGAGGCTTAGTTACCATGGCAAGCCCAGATTGGGGGGTGTACAGAGGAAAGAGAGTGCTGGAAGTGGGGGGCGGGCACAGCAGCCTGGGCTCTGTCCTCACTCCCTCTCGAGCTACAGATCTCAGGGGACTGTGGGAACCCTTCCGGGCCTCAGTTTCCTCATCAGTCAAATGAATGAAGAAGAGTGTAGATCTCTTCTAGCTCTAGACCCTAGATGCATGCAGGTAGCATGCACTAAATGAGTACTGACCCTCAGATCGCTTTTAGGCAAGGGACAACTCAGAACAGGTGAAGAAAGGGAATGAATTAAGCTTGTTTGTCTTTTTAAAAAAATAGAGGAATTAGCCAGTCAATATCTCCATTAGGATAAATAAAAATTATGGAGTTTCTTTCTTCCCTTGGCAGAAATTTAGTTTCTGGAGTGGATATTTACAAGTCCCTGGGGATCCCTAGGTCCTTTTTTGAACTTTGACTTCCTAAGAAATTAAACTCAACTTATTAAAGGGTGATGTCCTCTCAGAGGGGGTCTGGTGGTTTTTGGGCCCTGCAGGCCCAGCTGGAGCCATGGCAGAGCCTTCCCTAGGTCACTAAGGATGATCCTGACCCTACAGCATGGGCCTCCGCACAAGTCCATTGGCTCTGCCTCTGGAGCCTGCCTTCATTCTGAGACCCAGCCTTACCTTCTTCCCTCATTCCTCCAATGAGATCCCAGCCCGGGCCCAGATGCTGAGACCTCTGCAGTACCCAGCTCCTCCCTTCCCCAATGCTAGAGCCCCAATGCCACCAGCCACGCAGGCTCCTGTAACCCCAGAAGAAAGGCTGGACCCATCCTACCCCCAGCAGCTGGTCTGTCTTCCCCCCTCCACATTAGGCCCTGCCTCCTGGATCCAGCTCTAAACTATGCCATTTCTGATCCCTCCCTATCCCTCTACAAACACAGCAAACAGAACAACATGAGTGTGGCCAAGGTTGCTACCACCATCTTATCAGGGATCCTTCTCCGCCCACACTTGACAGCAAGTTTCCCTGCAGTTGGCAGCAGAAGGGGGAATCACACCTCCTCTAAAGGGAATGAAAAAGGCTGGGTGTTGCACTGATTGCTCCCGTGGTACCAGTCTCTCAGCACCAGCTGTGCTCCGGAGCATTCTGGAACCTTCCAGCCCTACTGAGAAAGTCTCCTCCCCTCCTTTCTAATCAACTGCCCCAGATGATGTAGAAAAGCTGTGAGCTTTGAGTCAGACCAACCTAGGCTCCAGGTTGACTCTGCCACTTGCACTGTGAGCTTGGAGAAGTCACTTGACCTCTCCAAGCTAATCTAGAGAATGGAGAACTATGTTGTCCCAGGAAGTAGACAAAACTGGAGGAAGGACTTGGTAAGAGCCTGGCACATGGTGGGATCTGAGATGACTGTCAGCTTTCTTTATTCCTTTTTATTTTTATAGCCAAGGCCAAGCAACAGGGCAGGGAAGAAAAGGAACTTGATCCTTTTCTGAGGCACCTGATGGCTTTGACCTCCCTCGCCCAATCGTGAGTCCCACCTCCCCTAGTCAGCAAATGCAAGAGGATGCTAGTGTGCACACGTGCACACACACACAGAGCCTGGCAGAAGCAGGCTTCTCCTCACATCCTTCAACCTCACCCCCAGGGAGAAGCCAGTGCTGCAAAGTCCTCCTCCCCTCTGGAACGCCTCTGACCTGCATTCTGCCCTTCTCTGGTCATCTTTCTGCACCTATCACATTGTTAATTCACTGATGTTGGAAGTCAGTTTTGGACAGCTACCCTCCCTCCGCTCACTCACTTCTTCCCAGTGGCACCTCTACTGTCACAGTGGCCTGTAAGGGACAAAATGTTGAGGCAAAGATTCTTTGCTTAGCCGAAACCAAGTCAGGCTTCTTGATCTTCTGCTAGGCCCCTCTATACACGTCCTTGTAAGATCCAGTTTTAGGAAAGAACCTTAAGTCAGCGGAGCCAGAAACCCCTGCTGGACACCTGATCTCCTCCATATCTGACCAGTTCCTCTTCCTGCATCATCCCCCAGCTGATGTCTGATCATCCTGCTCTGTCTTCAGCAAGAATCCTGTCAGGTGATTAGTCAGAACCCCCACTCCTGATGCTTCCTCTGAGTAATTTTCATCCACTGTCCCACACCTCTTGTTCCTTGGGTTATGAATCCCGACCAGCTCATGCCATATTTGGAATTAAGCCCAATTTCTCTCTCTCAGTTGTAGGACCCCATTGTGATAGTTCCCGTACCTCTCTCAATGGTGGTGGCTGTTAGGGCAGAGTGCCAACTTCACTGGCTTTGGGATCCACCCAGGGGATTGGTGGATCACATATCTGGGTGTCTGCGTGGGTTGTGGAGGTGTGGTCTTGGGGTCTAAGTCTGGTTCTTCATCCATCCCTTCCTCTCTGGCATTGTTCCCCTCCTTTGCTTCCTGGCTGCCATGAACCAAGCAGCTTTGCTCCACCAGGCCCTTCCTGCACTGGAGCCAGCTGACCCTGGACGGACTCTCCTGAAACCATGAGCCCAATGAAGCCTCTCCTCTTTTAAGCTGTGGGTATCTCAGCAATGTGAAAGCTAACTAACATAATCATTCTGAATAAGGGCTTCTTTACCATGCTGTAACAAGCATCACCTTTTCTTTATCAGATGTTGACTGAGAATGCCAGGCTGGGCAATGGTGTCAGCAGCAACAACAAGCCAGGGCTACCTTGGGATACCAGCCATCCTGGTTACTCCCACCCAGGGTCTCTGTTGCTCTACAGAGCACCCCACTCAGACCAGGCAGTCTTTACTGGAAAGCTTTCTCCCTATCTTGGCAAGGTGGTGAGCATCTGCAATCCCAGCTACTCAGGAGGCTGAGGCAGGAGGATCACAAGTTTGAGGCCAGCCTGGACAACTCTGGAAAGCTGAGTCTCAAAATAGAAGGGTTTGGACGTAATGACAGAGCGTGCCTGGATTGTTCCCCAGTGTAGGGGAAAACAGAGAAGGAAAAAAACCTGTCCATGCCTTCCCTAGCTTGAGGCTCAAGCTGCCTCCAGGAGATGGGACTGTCATCTGGATGACCTTCAGCCCCTGAACCTTGCCCTATATTTTCCTTCTCTGGTGACTGTGCCTGGAGTCCCCTTCCTTTCTACTTACCTCCATCCACATCCAAGCCAACTTTTAAGACAGAGAAACCACTACCTCCTTTTCAAATTGTCTTTGATTCCCCCCTCAACCCAGAGCCACCTTCCTGGCATGTGCGATGCCAGCAGCCTTGCCCCGGAGCAGTGTGTGCACTCAGAGCCTCAGCCTGGTGATATCTAGGTTCTAGGTCTCAGCAACATGGAAGAGCAGACACTAAGGAAATAGTGATTCTAGCACAGGCCCCTTGGTTGGGCAGTGTTGTTTGAAAATTGCTATAAAAGTTCCTGGCACTGCCAGCAGGCAGGAGGGGGAGGCACTGCACTACCAGCTACAGTCCTCCCAGTGAAGGCCAAGACTGCTCCCTCAGGCAGCCAATGATGCACGCACAGTCCTTGAGGGTGGACTGCCCCAGGCTTCCTGCCTCTGTGCAGCTGCCTAGAGAGAGGGCAAGATGACCCGGTCCCTCCCTACAACTCCCTCCTAACCCCTGACCCCAGCCTGAGTTGAGCAGCCTTCTTTCTATAGCATTAAGGCTTGTCGGAGTCCATCACGGGCTCTCCCTGCCTCTGGTCCACCCTGTCCTCCCGGCTAGAGACATGATCTCAGGCACCACGCTTATCCTGCCCATTCCCAGCTCTCACATTTCCACAGCTCCCAACTGCAAAGGAGTTCAAATCGCCTGCAATTCGAGGATCTGAGAGCTTCCTGTATTCCTGGCCCGTCTCCCCTCTATCATTCCCATCCCTGAAACACACACATGTACATATTTACACATCCAGATGCACATACACACATACACATTTTTAGACACACGCCTATGTGCATACATATACACAGACACCATGACCTAAAAGAATTATTTTAGGTACAGGTAAGATCTATTGATGGAAAAAAAAAGATTTATGGAGGAGCTTGATTTGAAGCAGGGGACAGTACAGTGGAGGCCTTCAAGAGTGCAAGGCTCCCACTTGCTCAGGGGAACAAGAGTCACCCCATAGCCCTCAGGGATGAGGTGCTTCTCAGCCACCGTGTCTCAAATCCGTCTGCGTGAAGCTTGGTGAAGCCCCACCTCTTTGACACAAGGATCTTCTGGCTGCCAGGAAACTTGAATGTGCGTAAGGCCTTGGTCACATGTTCCTTGTTCTGCATCCTGGTGCGGATGGACCTGATGGCTTGTGCAATGTGAACCCTCCGCACTGTGCCCTGGGGCTTCCCAAAGGCACCTTGCATACCTACCCTGAGTCTAGACTGGGAATAGCATGAGGTCAGATACACGAATTCACCAGGAAGCAGTGTCCCCAAGGTCTCCCAGGGCAACCTACACCAGCAAGAGGCTGCATACACTACCAAGGAGGTTGCTGTTCACAGCCATGGCATACTGGGCACCCATGAGCAAGGGAACCCGGTCACTTTCATCCACTGCAGAGACAGAGACCAAATCACTTGCTTTGATCACCATTTGCCTTGAGGTTGTTTTGTTTTGTTTTGTTTTGTTTTGTTTTGTTTTGTTTTGTTTTGTTTTGTTTTTCAGTACTGGGGATTGAACCCAGGGCATTTGCACTGAACTACTAAGCTATATCCCCACTCCTTTTTTTAGTTTAAGATATGGTCTCACTAAATAACTAAGTTGCCCAGGCTGGGCTCAAAGTTGCAGTCTTCCTACCAGAGTGCTGGGATTACAGGCATGCACCACCTATTACATTTATTCACTCACTCATTCATTCATCCATTCCCCTCAGTATCAGGTCCATTTCAGAGCTGGGGCATGATTTTCCTGCTTCCTCACTGTCAGGTACTACCCAGAACACCTTCCACTTCCCTTCCCAGTCTCTAGGTTCTCTAAGGACTGGTTCGAGGTCCACCTCCTTGGAAAAGCCCTCTCAGCTTCTCAGGCTTCCACAGCTCTTGCTGATTTTGAGCTTCTGTAAGAGTGCTCTCTAAAAGATCTCCCTAGAATGATAAGCATCTCCTAGACTGGCATATCCAATAGGTGCCCACTAGCCATGCATGGCCATTGAGCACTTTCAATATAGCTAGTGAGATAAAGAAACTGAATTTTTAATTCTTATTTAATTTTAATAGCCATATGTGGTCGAAAACTACTATATTGGACAGTGCATGCAGTTCTATTGCATAACTCATCTGACCCTTGGATCCCACGGACTGGGTGGTAAGTGGACCTGGTTTGGAATCCTTAGCTGTGTGACCCTGGTCAGTTTGCTAAACTTCTCTGAGCCTTGGCTTTATCGGTGATATCACATGTGGATTATAATACTTCTTATTAGGATGAAGTGATTAAATGTATCAGAAGCCCCCATTGCATGCAATGCATGCAGGTGGCAGAGTGAACAGTGATCTTTAGACACCACACCATCCCCCTTGCCCCAGGCAAGGCATGATTTA